ATCTAGCAAAACACTTTCACATTACAGATTTAATAATAAATTTCTGATGTGATTTCATTTCCACTGCACATGACCTTTGTGTTGCTTGAAATCATGGAGCTGCTGTTTGAGGAACTGTTGCTTGGCATCTTAAAACATCTCGCTGTGATTATAACTGAGTGGGAGTAACACATGAACAAGTTGGAATGTACTTAAAAAAATCTAGCACCATAGTAATTAAGTGAAAGAAATTGATCAGCTGGTATAACAATAGGCAAATAATTACTGAAAAGGCAAGCTTCATTAACGAGGTGCATCTATTAACGAGGGTAATCCAGATAATCTTGGGATTTCTCTTAGGTGGTTTTACAGTTTTTGAAGTTAGCTTTAAAAAATTCCTTTTCTCCAGTCAGATTAAGAAACTTACCTGATATGTGCTAGTTTTCAGTTTCATATTTTGACTTTTTCTATAATCTCTTTGCTTGTCTCTCAAAATGCAATGATTCCTTAAGCCAAAACTGCTCAGTCACAATGAAAATGTTAAACATCAGTAAGATTTTTGCCTTTTAGGATGAAAAGCCCTAGACAATCCAGAGAATATCAGGGATCTAGTGTTCTCTCTAGTATTGTCACGGATTTTTGTGCCTTGACATCTTCCGTGGGGTAACCAAGAGTCTACTTTCCACGTCTGCAGTGGCTGAACATCAGAACACACCAGCCTGATTCAACAGGAGGGAAATAATGAGAGTTCAAGCAGTGACCCAAGTTAGAATTACTTCTCAGACTTCTATGTGTTGTGATTTACTTTGGGTAAAAATAAAAATATATTAACATACAATATATATGGGAAGTCTTGAAAATAGAGTAGAGCTTGGATTTAGTTGTTTACATATTTGTAGTTTATTTCTATGTACTTCACTAAAGTAGACTAAATACAAAAGATCAAATGCGACCATATCAAACAGGTCAAAATCATTTAAATCAGAGAGGCTTAGGTACTTCAAAAAAGTGTGCCAGCTCTGTATTGAGGGTTCCAGATACTATCCAGGTTAACTCAGCTGCAGTACATGAGATTTCATGTTTCAGGATGGCACTTAATGATCTCGATCTCTTTTCTCTCACTCTGAATTGAGATTGGTGAACATCAACTTGCTAGAGGTAGCATCAGTGCTGGAAATCCACAAAAACGGCTCAGTAATTTGCCTGGCATTTGACCTGGTTGCTCAGTTGTAATCATAACAGTTTAATGACTTGTTCAGTAATGAAGAGGATTTGGGGCCTTTTTCGACTACAAGGTATGGAAAGGGCGTTCAGCTGGGATTAGTGTATAATCTGAGTGAATTTTGGAAGCATACGTTTAAGTTTCACAAAGTACATCGTTTTGATTTCAATAAAAAGTAGTTACTAGAGGTTTGAAAAAGTAGCTAAAATACTGTGATTGTTAATAGTCGTTCATGATGGTCAGTAGACATTTATTTCAGCCTGCTTTCTTCTAAATTGTTTTCGCTGATTAATGTATGCCAGTGATCTCATTTTACCATTTGCAGTCACTTGGTAGCATAAGCTCAATTAAAGTTTTTAAGAAGTGTCTCTAGCTCTTTTTTTTAAATAGTTTCAGATTGCCTTAGATACTGATTTTTGTTTTTTGAGTAACAAAATACTTTGACTATTGAACTGTTTAGCAATCATGCAAGTTGTACAAAATCTCTAAATGGGAAGCACCAAGAGGCTAAACTCCTTACCTGGTTTATTACTTTAGAGTTTCTTGCTGTTCTTTTCTTTTCTCCCATTTGTCCCTTTCCCCTTGTTTTTTTCACAGCAGTTCTTTTTTCTGAAGGTTTCATAATCTTCAGCTTTTGCAAATCATTTGTTTGTAAAGATTTGACAATTGCTGCTTTGGTAACAAATCAGCAAGTATTCATTAATCACTGCCCGGAGTTCCTTATCGTTCGCTGTATATCTTTACACAACAAAGATTAGAAAATGGCGATTAGTTCAACAAAAGCATTCTTAATGTGACTCTCGCTTTAACATGTAGTATTGCTTTCTCCTCCTATCAGCTTGTGCATCCATCTCTTCAGACTTTATAATTTTTGCGGGCATGTGCCAGCTGCATGTTCCGATACAGCCTTTCTAAGAATGGTGCTGGGAACGCAACAGGCGAGAGGGTAGCTTTGCCTTTTGAGTCAGCTTCTGATTCAGAGCCCAGAGTGATGGTAGGGGAGTGCCAGCAGAGAGGGAGAAAATCCAAAGCCCTGACTCTTTTTAGTCATTAACAGTCTCTGGCTTTATTATATCTTCCTTCTCTGAGATTATTAGCTAGCTCCAAAGTCTATTCTAGCCTTACGCTGAAATAATGATGTGCTCTTTCTGAGCGTTTGGAAACTGTATTAGGTAACTGTTGAGTCCCAGTACAGATGTGACCTTATTCTTAAACCACACCATTTTATCCATCTCAGTAAATTGATATTTATAAAGTATTTTCAGCTCTTGGAATGAAATGAGAAATGCACAAAAATTCCTAAAGCTCTCCATTCATAGATTCTAATTGACTTTGCACATTGCAAAACAATTTAAATACTGCATTGCTGTTATCGTTCACCTCTTTGGAAATGGTTCTTCCACTACTGAGTTATCTCATGCATGTGATACGATCAGTGCTTTAAATGCCTCCTAAATTCCCCTTCACTACACCATAGTTGGGAAAGATTTTACTATTTTATCTGCCTGTAGTTAGAATCTCATCATTTCGCTATGCCCATCTTGAGCTGATGATCTAAGCCCACTCTTGAATTCTCCTTCATTCTCCAACTTCACGAGCTTCTGTGCTTTATAGATGAACAGATTTCAAAGACCTCAGAAGCGCTTCTTGAAAATTAACTTTTCTCATATTTTTAGCTCCTTTTTACCTTTCCTCAGGCTTCTTTTGATAGATGATTTGCACTACCATAGTGCTTTCCTAACAGAGCATTTGTACTGCGTTAAGTATCTTAGCTACCCTTTTTATTAAGACAGTCTTTTTGTTCTTCTGTAGTTCCCTTCTCTGAAGTTGAGTGAGAGACTATGGAGAATATTCTGGCCTTCATTTTTTACATAGGGATGTTGAACCAAAGTACATTCTGGTCACTTAGGGAATGGGTCTTCAGCTGCAAGAGTTCAAACAAGAGCTCGCATGCCATCAGAATCAACCATTGCACCTTCTGTTGTGGACTCCTTAAGCAGGAGTTGTTTTACTATTTCTTTCAAATGAGCTCCATCCCTCCAGTACAGGCCTCTTGTTTCCAGCATCTAGTGTCCCATACAGAAGAGTCTCCACTCCATAATGAAGAGGAAACCTCACTTTTTAGCCAAGCATCTTTGCATTTCTGTTTGTCCTCTGTAGTATACAAGTACATTACTACATGGAAAACCTTGTCTTCAGCTACCCTTGCAGGGTCCTAGATTGTCTCTCTAAAACCTTTTTCTTGCCTTTTCCCTGTGCTACTGGTACCCATGGAGAGCAGAAGTGCAGGCTTCTCAAACCCAGTGCTTCTTACCTGGTGATCCAGAACCTTTGTGCCTTTCATATGACTTTTGCATCCAGCAAGCAAGTGAATTAGTTCTGCCATCTGGTCTTGCAAACTCATCTGACCCCTATTTCCTAGGTGCCAATCCCACAGGTCCTTGGTTCCAGAACAGAAGGGTACATGGCCATCTTTGGATCGAAAGGCCTCAGCACTGCAGTCATTACCCCGTCATAGGTCTAATGCCATGCCCTGCTGCCACATGATGCCATGGGCATTAGTCTGGACTTGATCTCGTTTTGTGATGTTCCTGAAAGGCTCCTCTATCAGTCTGATCATCCTCTTTCTCAGAGGACTTGGTTTCTGTATATGGAGATCAGACTGCTCACCAACGTCTGTGAAAGTGCTACATGTGACCCATGGGCTGTGTTTCTCTGAGTTCCTTCAGTCCATCCCCCTCAAATAAGCTCCCAAAGACACTGTCCACATCATGGTGCATCCAGGCTGCTTTCCTAGGGGGCAGGTGTTTGTAAATGGGGTGTGCAACACACACCTTCTTGCTGGAGCTCTATCTTTATTTTTCTATCTGGGTGCATAACAGTGGTTCTTTAAGATGGTTTCTGTATCAGTGATCCACCTGACTGGCAAATGTCCCCCTGGATCCAAACTTCCTTTTAACTTCTCAGCTCACTTCCATTTATGTTTCCAACAGCTCTTCTCACTCTATGCTAGGACTTGCCTTGGTCCAGCAAGGGCTTCTTGCCCTGCTTCTAGTTTCAGATTTTCAGCTCATCTTCCTTCCCTCCCTTCTTCCTCCCACCCCACTGCTTTCCTGAGTGAGTTTCTGTCCTTGATCTTACTCCCAAAATTCAGAGATAAGACTTTTTGTCGATACAGGAGGGACAAAACAAAAACATGTAAATATTCTATGTTGCACAAAGTAATATATTCACATAACATATCTTTAATTGCTGGGAAAAAAAAACGAGATTCTGTTTTTTTGTGGGTTTGTGGTTGTTTGTTTGTTTTTTGTTTTTTTTAAATAGGAAGAGCATTAAACAATATGCCATAGCCAAAACAGAATTTCTGACACTTTTTATTTCAATTTAAACAAGCAATGTACTGGGGGGAATTGTATTAGGGACTTTCTTGTCTTTAAGCGTCAATTATAAAATACACAAAATACAAAAACCCAAATAGATCACAACTTCTCTAGTTTCAGGAAATCAGACCAAAACCAGCTACATCCTCTGATCAGGAATCAGTCACACTTAAGGGAGAGTCAGGTCACATCTTGAGGTTGTCTTGCTGCCCTTATCCATAGCATGGACGTTGATCTACAGTCACCCCATTTTTGAGGGTATTCTTGGAATTGGCAAGGCTTGGGTGGGTCCACCTTCTTTGGGACATCTCTGAATTTGCTCCCTAGGCATTTCCCATTATCTCCCTTGAACTCTGAGACCAGAATTAAAGAAATTGTTATCCAGAGCACCGGGTTGTTGACTGGACCATGCCGACATGCATCTGTCCCGTGTTAGCACTTCGTGTGGACAGTTTATTGCTCCCAGAAACTGTGACCTTGGCCTCACTGGACTGAATAGCTTTAACCACTTAGGATCATTGGAGCAAAAGTCCATCATCCTTGACACAAATAAGCAAGGTGTGTGTGCAGTCTTACCCTATTACACCAAGAAATTCCCAGTTTCACTGAAGGTGGTTCTGTGGGTTAGTTCTGCAATTGCCTTGAAGCATCCTAAGCTCTGAATAGCTATTGTGGTCCTTCAGGTATTTCACAGAAACTCTTCCTGAGCTTTCACCGCCATGTCTTGTTTTCTGTTACTGTGGCTACGTATGTGTGTTTGGTTGCAGTATAATTGTACATTATTCTGTTTTCTTTTGCTCAGAATAGATGACTTGTGTTTTCAAAGATATTTTGTGTCAGAATGAGTTTTGCGTAAGGAAGGATACGTAGCTGCTGAACACTGAATGATTCAGCAGCGTTCCAACAGAACAGACTTTGACATATAGACGTGCAAATGACATGAGTTTTTCCAATATACAAGACTTAAAACATTGATTCATTTACTTATCCCTGTTTTTTCTTGCTTTATTTATTCACTCGTAGCCTGAATGTTTTCCTAAAGGAATGTTTCAGACTTACTAATTATAAATGGCAGGGGGGTTGGAACTAGATGATCTGTAAGGTCCCTTCCAACCCAAAGCATTCTGTGATTCTGTGATAAATTTCCCGCAACAAATAAATCTTCTGTGACCAATGTTTCATTATGATTGTCTTGATGTTTGTTTGTACTACAGAAAACTGAACACAGATCTGTAATTTTGGTGTTTCTTAACCTCCAAATCCTCTGTCTGGCTACTTTAATATTTTAGTAGTGTGTTGTGGGTTTTATAGATTTATACGAAATCTATAATTTGTTAGGATTTAGTTTTGCATTTCATAGTGTGCCTCATGAAATGTCACTCAAATTAATTCACATATTTTCAGTTTGAGTGTTGTCATCTCTTCCAAGAGCTTGTTGAAAGGCTTTAAATTAGGCATCATTATTAAAGCTTGTGGTTTAGGTTGTGGAAAAATACAATTTTTGAAAAGAATATCTGTATCTGATAATTCTAAATGAGATATCCTTGCTAAAAAAATGGAAGAGGGTGTGAGGAAGCATAGCAAAGAAAGCCATGCACAATACATGTTTGGAAACCTTCCTTGCAGTACCTTGGGAGAAAGACAAGACAAAGAAATATAAAAGAAACTAGAAGAGTCAATAAGTAAAATATTTGTATTTACATACAAATTGATGCTGTGTTTGAAAACAAATGCGAAGAAGCAATGATGAAGAATGATAGTGGATGGCAAATCAAATATTTTAGAGGTACGATATTTGAGCTACAGTAGTTTGCAAGACTTTTTTTGTGGCCAAGTGCAAAAAAAATGCATTTCTTGAAAGCTAAACAGGATAACATGCAAGAAAAATATTCTTCAGAATTAATCAGAAGATGGACAGGCACCCTCTGTGCATTAAATTTAACACAGGAAAGCAAAAGCTAATTAAAATTTTCTGTATGGATTGCTGTTTGCAAGAATTTTGCTATTCCTTTGGGTATCGAGAGTGTAATTGTTTTCCAGTTCATCTGAGAAACATTTGCTGAAAGAATGTAAATAATTGTGTTTATCTAAATCAAATTTTTACTCTTCATTGAAGAAACAAATTGCAAAACCTGAAAATAATAGGGAAGCAGATCACATAAACCTTTGTTGCTGTTAAAAAGAAATTGATCAAGTTTCTCATTAACTTAAAATGAATAATAAAATGTATAATTGGAATTACTTTTACAATTTGACTTCTCGCAATCCAGTTTATGACATTTTTTTCAATGGAAAGACCAGGAAAAACAAAGCCAAAGTTCAATGTATTAGAAGTGAGGTATTATTAAACAGAGATGAGCAATACATAGAGGGAATTACATCCCAGAAGCACTGCATGCTTGCGTAGCTCAATACTGAGGGTGTAGCTTCTCTAAAAATCAGATATTTTTTTTCTCTCTTTTAGTACATTGTTCCAGAAATTACTGTAATGTTTAGTCTTGTGCTTGTGTTCTTTTAGCTAGCTCTTTTTTCATCATGTTGTTAATCCGAATTATATCTGCTGTCAGGAAAGAATCTGCTTCTTATTGAGACAACAAGGTTTGCCAAGACTTATATGTCATCTGTGTCTGTATAATTCCTTGAGGAGATAGAAGAACTTGGAATAATGAGAGTGCCTCAATCTGACTTAGAAAATTTTTCCTCTCCCTTAAAATATTTACAAACTCTATGTGAAGAAGCAAAAGATAGGACTAGTAAGAAATTCTGATTCACAGTATTTAGAATAAAAAAGTTCTTCACTGTTCAACCATTAACCTTGAATTTTATTTCAAATTTTGCATTTAAAAATATTGAGAAATTTTCTTTTTGAGATACCACGTTACATTTGATCTTTTTTGCCCTGATACGCACTGAGTCATATATGAAACCGGTGTTCTCAAACCTGGAAATCAATTCCCTTAATCCCAGCCCATTGTCCAGTGGATACAAAGTACTTCTCAAGTTATCAATGAAATTCCAAACTGGAGATGTCTTCTCTGATTTTGAGTTTTCTTCAAAGATTTTTTATAACTTTAATAATTAGGCAATTTTTAGAAGTAGGAAGAATGTGAATGCAACATTTAAACATCGTTAATCACAAAGTGAATCTGTCTAGTGAATAGATGTGAGACTGATTCATATGTCAAAGTTGTTTGTCATTTGTGGAGGAGACAGAACATGATAAGAAATTAGAATTTTTGTTTGTAAAATTTTAAAATTAATAATGTATTTTTATGAAACTAACTGGAAAATCTGACATAATAGCAAACCCTAACCTTTACTAAAATACTTTCTATCATTAAAAAACAAGCAGGGCTTGGGGATTGTCCACAAAGTAAGGCACTAAACCTGCCAAATTCAACGAGTCTAGTATGAGGTTTTACATCATATCATCCGTAACACAGGATAAACGTTTCCAAGTCTACCCATAGCATCCATCTCAATCTTTTATTTTACTCCTTTTCTCGTGACAAAGAGCGAGAGGGAAATCTTGATCTGTGAGTTTTCCAGGTTTCCCATTCTTTCATATGCTCCAGCTTACAGAGGAAATTTCCAGGTTTCCTTTGCTGCTGAAGAGGTGATTTGTCATTCGGTAATGTCGCTGTGAGAAGCACTGAGCACCGTCAGTGCTACCTGGTGACTTAGTTGCTCTCTTACCCCACACTGCCTCGGGTCCGATTCCTCCAGTTCTTAATGGCAGAAACGTACCTGCCAGTTCTCAATCCATAGCCAGCTCCTTACCTGGGAAAATATCACCTCTGATCAGTTAAAGTGATACAAGTTTCTGGAGTCTGATATCCTGAAATCAAGTTAGGCAAAGCTTAGAAATGGCAAGAGCTTACGTAGGATGGAGAACAACATAATAAAGCAGTTCAGTATAGGATTGCTCATGCAGACTTTGCCAATAGTCAGTTCAACCTGTGAATCACAGTGTTTGTTACACTAGAAGAACATTTATTTCTTCCTGAACTTCCTTGCCAGCACAGCAATTCCCATCAAAACATCTGAAGAGCAAGTAAGGTTTTCACTTTCCCTCCTTCTTCTTTTTGAGGGAGGGGGAAATCAACTTACCATAGGATCTATCTTAAAATGTGGTATCAGCGGCAAAACTTGGGGAGCAAATACTGAATTAGGAATAACAAATTGCCAGGACTAGATATTGTTCATCCAAGAGTAGTAAGAGCACTCAGAAACAAAATAGCCAGGCTGTAGGCTATAGTGTGATGATCATTTCCTCTTTTAGCCTCTAGAAACTGTATAATGTGATGCCTGTTTTCTCAAAGGGCTTCAAAGTCAATCTAAGCAGCTCAAATCTGTATCACGTTTGCATCAAACTAATAGAAATGGCGATGAAAAAAAACGCGGTGCCACACCAAAACCAGATGAAATTAATTTTGGGTAAATATGAAGTGATGTATGCAGAAAAAATCGTGACTTCACATATACAGTGATGTGTTTGAAGCTGATGTGAGGCAAGAACAAGAGTCTTGTGGTGATAACAGGTTGTTCCTGTTGGTGGTCAAAATCGCTGTTGGTGGTCAATAACAACAGTAAGAAGGAGGAGGTGCTTGGAAGGAGTGGCTGAGACAAAGCATTAGCCCAATCCAGAATGGCTTTTCCTACTTTGTAATACATAACTCAGCATGGCATTTTTGACAACTCCAATTTAGATTAACAAGTTGTTCAGCATTTCAAATGTAAGTCCTGAATTGCCTCATGAATTCGCCAGTGTCATCTCCTTCCTGGTGCTGGTCTCTTTCTCTTCATCAGACCTTCCAATGTCATGCTGCAAACTTCAAAAGAATACAGAGAGATCTTGGTTTTACTGAAATAACAAGGATCTTCAGGCCACAACCCTTGATGACAACCATTTCATCACTCTGAACATACTGTAGATTAATATTACCATTTGTGAGTAAAATAAGTAGAGGATTAATTTATATATTTCATATTCTTTTTAAAGCCAAAAGATAAAAAGTGGTTTGATGCCATGTATGAGGAGAATCGGAAGGTGCCTGTTCTTCCGTTACTGCTCTTTTCAAAACTATGAGCCTTAATTGGTGGTGCAGTAAAAGGTTTTAGTCCATATGCAATACTTCACAAAGTTTTCTTAAATTCTAATCCACCAGTAAGCCGTATTTTCTTACTAGAGAATCTTTCCACTCATCAAGTTGGGCCTTTTTTATTAAGTTAAATTACCGAGATTTGCCACATGCTGTCCTTTCTTCTGTGGAAGTGTTAATCCTTACATCTGTCACCTGAGCTTTTGCTTTGTGAGTCCTAAAAGATGTTAACAAGTGTGCCCTGAATAGCCTTTCAGGTCATAACTATGGTTCTCCACAATCCACTGCCATTTTCCATACTGCCCCAACAGTGCCAGGCTAACTTAACACGTTTGATTTATATACAAGTACAGTGACCCAGCTACATGATCCACAGCAGTGTTCAACATTTCTAAATGTAGGATAAGACTGAAGATTTTAGAAAAACGTAATTGCTAGATAAAATGTACGTTTGCA